CGGCGATCAAGGAGGCAGTCCAATGGACTGAGGACAGCAAGAGTGAGGTGATGTCCAACATTGAGAAGGTGCTGGACAGGAAGGGCCCCAGGGTGGCGGCGCGCGCGGCAGACATAGTGGCAGACATCGGCTCGATCGCGGCCACCAAGGGCGGCGGCGAGGCGACCGTGGCAAAGGCCACCGCCGAGGGCCAGTCCGCCCTGGCGGCCGCAGCGCGTGCGGAGGCGCGGGCGGAGGCGGTGGCGGCGGCTAAAGGACCGCACGTGGTGGGGCCGGTGGTGCAGGTGCAGGAGGGCGGGAAGCTGGTGCAGGCTGAGGAGGCGCGGGACGGGCCGGCGGTGAGGCTGCACACGGATGGACGGCTGGAGCAGGTGGAGGGGGGCGGCGGCGGCGGCGGCGGCGGCAGTGGTGGCCAAGCAAGCGGCGCTCCGCAGCAACAGCCGTCGGGTGGTGGCGGGGCTGCCGACGGTGGCGGCGCCCACAGTGGCGGCGGGGACAGCGGCGGCAGCAGCGGCACCCGCGCCAGCGACGAGGCCGGCGCTGCCGGCGCCACTGGCGGCAGCAGCAGCGATGACGGAGGCAGCGGCAGCAGCAGCGCAGCCGAGGCCAGTCCCGCAGATGGGTTGGCGAGCACCACGCCTCAGGTGGTGCGGTGATCTGTCTATGCAAGCATGGCGACCCCTGGCGATCGAATGCACACTGCATTGTGTGTTGTTGCATGAAACCCCTTAATTTTCTCAGAGCCAGGATGTGCTGCTGCCATGCTATTGCTCCTCAAGAATGCTCCCAGTGTACTGTATTTTGCGCTGCTTCGTAATAGTGATCCCACAGTCGGTAGTAACACAAATAAGCTGCTCTCCGCCTCGTACATGGCGCCAAGTCCGTCATTTGTGCTTCTTGGGCTTGCCGCGGCTACCGCCCGCCGCCCTGGCCTTCCCGAGCTCCTTGCCGCTGCCGCCGCCGCTTCCATTTTCTGAAGCCACCCCTGCACGCTTGGCCTCCATCCGCCGCCGCGCCGCCTCAAACTCCTCCTCCGTCGGCTCGGCGCCCGCCCCCTCGTCCTCGCCGCCGCCGTCGCTGCCAGCACCAGAGCCGCCGCTGCCATCGCCCTCCCCGCCGCGCCGCCGCTTTTTGCTGCTGTGTTTCTTGCTGCTGCTGCTGCCGCCCTTGTTCTCCTTGGCGGCCTTGCGTTTCCCGGCGTCACTACTCTTGGCGCCGTACTTGGCCTCCAGGGACGCCAGGGTGGCGGCCATGCGGTTGCCCTGCTGCAGCAGGAGGCGGACGAAATGGCAGCGGAGCGCGCAGGGAGAATGAGACAGCAAGCAAACCCAGCTCAAGAAGACGGAGCAGCTGCACAACGGCCACGGCCTGCGCTCGCAGGATGCCGATGTGTGCCGTGTGCTGTGGCACTGAGGCGCGCCACCCCACACCTTCCCCTGGATGGCGGCCACCAGCGCCGCCTCGCTCCCCTCGCCGCCCCTCCTCTTGCCGCCATCCTTCTTGCGGCCGCCACTGCCGCTGCCGGCCAGCTCCTCCGGCGCAAGAGGGTCTGTGCTGGGGGGCGGCTTGGCCGCGGTGGCCTTGGCCCACTTTGTGTAGGCCTTGGTGCGCTTCACCTCGCCTGCCGAGGTGGGACAGTGCAGGCGTTTGCACGTGGCGTGTCGACCCGCAGCTAGCCGCCTATAGATGCGTCTGGCTGCACTTGAGAGGAGCTCAAAGGCCACCCGCCCTGCCTGCTGGCTTCTAGCAGGACGCCCCGGCCCCTCACCTGGGCCAGGCTCACCCCAACCCTTGAGCTTGAGCAGCGCATTTGCGCACCAGAATATGATTCAGGGCGCCTCCATCATAGATGCATGCACACGTGCACAGACGCGCGCGCACGCGTGCACACATATACACACAAACACACACACTCTCTCGCACGCACATACACACATACACACGCGTGCGCGCTCATGCACCCAACCCACACACACACACACACACACACACACACACACACATGC